GGGGGGGGGCATGTGACATTGCTGATGTCACACGTTCCCCTATGTCCCCACCCACGACATCAATTACATCACTATGTCACTTCCAGGTAGCGTTTCCGGTGATTCCTAGAGCTACCATTTGTCAATTCTGGATTGTCCCTGGAAATGACATAGCAGCTCAGAGGCTTGCACCAATTTTTTTTCTTTATTTTTCTCCCAACGCCACTCTGAGCAGTGGCAGGCAATGGAGAAGATCAGCGGGAGACCTGGAAACCCACCCTGGCTGTAGTAGTTCTATAGGCAGGGTTGCCATATTTTGAAAAGCAAAAAAGAGGACATATTTCCCAACTGGCTACTTCACTACAAGAAATCTCATTTTAAATACTCCTACTATCTAAGCTGTGATAATTGCTCCTCACTAGGGATATTCCTAGGAGCCGCGGTGGCTCAAGTGGTTAAGACGCTGAACTGCAGGCTGTGGAAGGTCAGTAGTTCAGCAGTTCGAGACCCGAGTGTGCCGCATGACGGAGTGAGCTCCCGTCTCTGGTTCCAGCTCCTGCCAACCTAGCAGTTCGAAAGCAAGAAATTGCAAGTAGATAAATAGGGACCACTTCGGTGGGAAGGTAACAGTGTTCCGTGCGCCTTGGTGTTTAGTCATGCCGGCCACATGACCACGGAAACGTCTTCGGACAGTGGGCTCTTTGGCTTTGAAACGGAGATGAGCACCGCAACCCTAGAGTTGGACTCGACTGGCTTTCGAGCAAGGGAACCTTTACCTTTACTAGGTATATAGGGTGTAGACTTTCCAATTTCCCGGGGGGGGGGGCTGGGCCAGAGGCATTGCTTTGCTAGGAGCAAGGGTGGCTCCCGGGGGAGGCTGAGCACCTTCCTGAAAATTTCGGCGGGGGCTGAAGCCCCGCCGCCCCCACGAAGATTACGCTAACCTTCCAACCCCCAAAAGAGGCCATGTTCATCAGTTTTTTTAAAAGAGCCCCAAAGAGGACAGAAACCAAAAAAGAGGACATGTCCTTTAAAAAGAGGACATCTGTTAACCCTATCTACAGGAGTAATTATTTAGGGGGGATTGGGGCCCTAAATTTCCTTCTCATTGTTCCAAGCTACTTCCCGTGTAAACTGCCTCTGTGGTAGCTACGTATCTGAAGAAGTGTGCATGTACACCAAAGCTTATATCTTGAATGAAACCTCTTTGGTCTCAGAGGTGCCACATGACTCAAGCTTTGTTCTGCGGCTTCAGACCAACACCTGAATCTATGTTAGCCCTTACTCCAGTTCTCTAAGCTTGTTTCCAGGATCTACTAGGTGTCTGAAGTAGGAGTTAAACCTAGGCAAAATACTCACCTTCCGGTCATCATATAAATGAAGAGTGATGGGATTAATAAAAAGCCGAGAAATATAAGTCAGACAGTCATAATGATCTTAGTGTGTAGTCACAGGCCAGGACACAATGACCTGAGACAAACCCGGCTTCCGCTTAGAACTCATGAATGCAGCAATAACATTTCTTGTCTGGCTTTAAATGTGTTTGGGTTGCTGATTCTGTAGAATGCTTTTTATTGGTATTTGTAAATTACATTTGGTTGCCTGGCAGTGTTTTTGGAGCCCACTTTGAGAGCCTCTTGGGGTGGTGGGATGGAGAGCTGTTAATTGAGAGGGAACCAAAAGAGCAAATGCTCAGGGCTTCCGCTGCCCTTTACTTTCTCTGCACTGGGTAAAAATGAATTCAAACACATGAACAGGAGCATTAAGAGCATTTGGGTGAGCATTCCCTCGAAATGAAGTGGTGTCCCCAGCAGTGCACAGCATAATGGGCTTTTGCAGCTGATCCGTGCAGCTGATGCCCAACAGGGGCAGAATCCAAGCCTCTGCCCTCGAGGAAGTGCTTCCTCCTCAAGGACAGATTGCATTTTCTCAGCTGTCACACTTCAACGGAATTGTTGGGGAAATGCGATTCCCCCAGTTAGTAGGTCCGTTGCAGTCTGGAGCGTTGTCCATAGTACAGTCAGATGACGAGACCATCGCGATCACCTCTTTGAATAGGCTTGTGATGCCTCTGAGGATCAGCAAACAACCACCTTCCTCCACCATGTCCACTTCTTGCTGTGCCTGAAATGTAGGGACTTGCCAGGAGCTGAAACGGACCAGCATTCCAGCCGATTCCTCACCCCACGCTCTCCATCCTGATAACCTGTCTCTAAACGTTACCTTGAACACACATGAAGCTGCCTTCTACTAAATCAGACCGTTGGCCCATCAAGGTCAGTATTGTGTACTTAGACCGGCAGCAGCTCTCCTGGGTCTCAGGCTGAGGTCTTTCACATCACCGACTCCCTGATCCTTTTTAACTGGAGATGCCAGAGATCGAACCTGGGACCAACTGCATGCCAAGCAGAGGCTCATCCAGTCTAAATCTTCCCTCAGTCTATGGGGGTAAAAATTCTGGCCTACTTTACAGGGTTGTTGTGAGGCTTACAGAAATGGTATGTCAGTTACAAAGTGGGTTTTTATCTTTATAGCTGTGTTAAGGTCTGCTTCCGGCCTGGGGACTGTTTTATGGATTTGGGGGGAAAGGCTCAGCAGCTTCTTTATGCTGTTTTAATACTCTGGAGAGGGGCCATATAAATTCCCTAAATAAATACTAATAATCAATATCTGTGCGATGAAATTCTAAGCACAGTTACATGCCTTTAAGTCCATGTAAATCAAGGTACAGCCCTAGGCTTGCACTGCTGGAATGCTTTGAACACTTTTGTATCTTCTGTATACAGCTTGGGGACAGCACAACCTTAAGGACGCCTCCTCCCATAGGAACCCACCTGTCGGCTCCAGGCACCTTCGGATGCCCTCTTTTGGCTGCTCCTGCCATCTGAGGGTAAGATGGGCACCTACCCCAAAAGGCCCTTCTCAATTGTGACACCAGAATTTTGGAATTCCCTCCCCAGGGAGATTTGTCTGTCTCCCTTTGTCCAACCTTCCACCAGCAGGTGAGGATTTCTTTGTTTCATTTGGCATACCCCCAGAAAACTCTTACTGGCCCTCCTCCCTAGTTGTATAGTGTTTGTATATCTATTTGTTTTGTTAAATATTTCTATATACATTTTAAATGCTGTTTTAACATTTTAGTGCCTTGATGTTCACCACCTTGGGGACCCTATTTGGGTAGAAAGGCAGCACAGAGTTACTTTTTCAAATAAACAAATAAATCTGACATTCCTCCCTTTTTTGTGTCTAAAGAAACGAGCTTTGATTCCTGAATGCTTCTATCCTGGGAAGTTGTGTTGGTCTTTTAAGGTGCTACTGGACTGAAATTTGCCCGACTACTGCAGGTTAACACGGTTACCTGCCTGATTCTGCTTTCAACCCTGTTAAGCGCTAGAAAAAGCTATTAATATTACTACTGTGTATCAAACAGAATTTATACAGTTGTTGGTTTATTCATCTGGAAGGGTATACACAACCAAAGAAGAAAAATACCGACAATGCTATTCTGCAGCTATCTGTTGTTGGGCACACGAAACTGTTGTGTACAGAGGGTCTCAGACAGGCCCTGATGTAGTGGCTTTATATTTACAAGATCACCCTGGGAAGGGAAACTTGACCGAGGTCGATCTAAGGCCACTTGTCTACACACTGTGAAGAAGTCGCTATCCTGCAGTAAGAGAGCTCTGTAAGATGGAAAGTCTTCTAGGAAGCGAAAGTGAGAGCAAGGTTTTCCCAAGATCCCTCTGGGAATGTCCTGAAGACAACTTATGAGAAAAGAGTTGGCAGTGCCAGGGCAGAGACTGAGCAAAAGGGATGGACGGCTTAAAATGAACACAGGAGGGGGCTCACTGGCTGTCATTCTCAATACACAAACACTCCTTTGATGTGGCTCTTTTTTGGGGGGTGGGGAGAACCCTGAAAGCAGCAGTGTTTGCTTAACTTACCATGCATCCCATAAATACACACATTGCTTGTAGCAAAGTAGTTTTAAAATATATAAAAATTAAGAAGTATGTTATACTTCTTAATTTTTATATACATATATATATATAATATGTATAGTATTAATTCTTAATTCTTAATATATAAAAATTCTTAATTTATATATATACATATACATATATATATACAAATTTATATATAATATAAATATGTATATTTATTAAGAAGCAGCAAGCTTAATGTTGTGAAACAAGCCTGTAAAATGCAAAAAAAGGAACAAGATTTTTTTTAAAAAAAATAACCATTTAATTTATTTATTTTTTCTGGGGAAAAATGTCCATTTATATGATTTTTACTGCTAGGGAAAAATCATAACCAACGACCTTAAAAATCTATTGAACAGCCAGTTCTGCTGTACAGCACCTAGTAAACCAATTTCTGTCTAATAGCCAGTTCTATTCATTCATCAATCTAGTGATAATCTCTCTCTCTCTCTCTCTCTCATTCTTCATTTAAGCGGTCCCCGGAATTTGCTTCACCAACTTCTGTTTACTATTCCCCACCCACCGCCTTCGCCTCCTTCTGCTGCGGCTGATTGAAATGTGTCCTCCAAACAAGGTTTCACATAATCTTGGCGGTGGGTTT